TTCCTGCAGTACTGCTTTGGCCAGGCCTAAACCAGTGGAATCGTAAAATATCTCGATACTAGAAATAAGGAGTCTAGGCATCCTTTGACTAGTCTTGAGACCACAGTCCTCACAGCCAGCTAACTTAGTTCAACACAAAGCTAATATCACTGCTCTATATTGAAGTGGATGGTAATCACACTGAAGGATATTCATAAAATAAGGAGATACTGAAGAGCTAGCGTCTTTTCACTAGTTTGGTGGCACAGTCAGTTCACACAACCCTGCTACTCTAAAATTGACGCCGATAGAAAGTCTCCGACAGTGTACCCTTCCACCAATCTTCCCCATAAACTTTGTTCTATTTGTAGAAAAGCTCCCCACTTCTCTCCTCCAGCGAGTCCTTTCTTCCCATGCCTCCCTCGAAGGTGCGTGAGCGGAGACAACCAGGACTGAGCTCAGCGGATTCCCGAAAGCATTTATGTAATTTCGGGCATTCTCTAAGTCTGAGAATTCTAAAGTACATATGTCTGTCAATACATAATTGGAAGTATTCATGGCAGAAAGCTGCAATTTGAAAGCGTTCCACGAAAGTTAAGATGGGTTTTTGTTTTATTTTAATACAAAAATTTGAAATTGAAATTAATTCTGATTTATTATTGGTTTTGCTATTTGCCACAGAAATAAAGTAACTTGCATGATTAAAAAATATTATTGTGGTTGTAAGTTATACGCAGTAATAAACATTTCACCAAGGGATTAAATTTTCATGCACAACATCAAAGCAACAACAAATACCAAATGAAAACAAAATGCAATGCAACAACTCACCCAAATTCTCGACTTGGCACGGCAGCACCAGAGTGTCGCCCACCACGGCGCGATATGTATGGCCGCGCGAGAGAAAGTGCGGTTGCACACCCGACATGGATGACGTCTGCGAAGTGCTCATGGGGCGTGTGTTGGTGCCTGAAACATAGTAAACACAGTGAAATTTAGACATTTGTGAACATATATATATAGTAATGTATACACATAGATATATAGTATATATTTATGTACTATATACATGGAAATTGGATATATAGCGGATATAACAGTAATTTATTTTTGTTTGCAAACTTTCTATTCATTTCGTGTTGAATTTTTTATTATCTGGCGGTTTTCGGCGGCAACGTGCAACACCAAATTACGATTATCAAACCGAATGTGCTGGCGTAAAATTCAGAAAAACAGAAAAAACACAGATCAAATAGAAAACAAAAGGTGTTAAGTGCTTGCAGTAGATTTGTTGTTGCGCACGCTCACTAAGATAAAGTTTCAGAAAGGCTTTCGCCTCTTTTTTGCAGGCTAATTTCCACTACACTTTTCTATGCGACGCACACATTTTATTTTGTTGTTGCTAAAACTCGTTTTTAATGCCAAAAAAGCGGCTGCTCTGAGGCAATTGTATTATTCCCGGCACGTGTGCGCCATAAAAATCATATTATTCACAGTTCGTGGAGCACACCTGCGATTTCTTAAAATTCCTTCGGACTTTTTTATATTTTATTTTGTACTTTATACATTTTTTTCTATATTTTTGCGTAGATTATACTATTTTTTTTGATTCTTTTAATGTTTCTTTTCGTGTATTTGCTCTCTCGTTTTATGTTGCTTGCGTAGCTTGCTAGCGCCGCTAGTGCAGCAGTTATTTCTGCGAAATTAGCCGATAACCTGCTTCTGTCACGGGCACACAAATAACTTCGCTGCACAACACTGACAGGCGCGCGCAAATAGCGAAGGGTGCGGACGCAGACGCCTGCTGCGAACTGGCAGCCGCTTTAACGTTGCGCTGGCAACTTCAGTGCACATCATACACACCCACGCAACCACACACACACGCAGCCGCACACACATGGCCATAAAATTTGAAAATATACTCAGAAATATCATATTTAGCCGAGAGCGATGTGTAGTAATGCAATGGGTTTGTTTGCCCCAACTTCCAGCGGAAACGGATGTGTGGAAAGTTTCGGAGAACAATTTTTTGAATTTAGTTTTTTTTTTTAATTTATATTGCCGCAAGTGTGCCCTCAGTGCGCATCAATTTGTGTAGTTCGCTTGAATTTAGTTTTCAAACTGCACAATTTTGTAGGAGATTTTTCGTTTTGTAAATTTTGAGTTTAGTGTAATTTTCAATTGCAATTTTGTTACTTAATTTCACTGGAAAATAAATTTCAATTAATTTGCGCAATCAGTTAAAATCGTGTTAACAACAGCACSYCARTTGTTTCWTCTTTTTCYTATTTGGCGCYAATTTGGAGATRCCAAGTGCAGCCAGGTATTTTCCAGCTGATTTCTCCAACGGATTGGAGGTCTTGTTCTTTCTCTGCTTCCCCCAGCGGGTACTGTGTGGAATACTGTCAGAGCTGGAGTGTTTTCGTCCATTCGAACAACATGACTTAGCCATCGAAGCCGCTGAACTATGCCAATATCGTCGTATATCTCATACAGCTCATCGTTCCATCGAATGCGATATTCGCTGTGGCCAATGCGCAATAGACCATAAACCTTTCGCAAAAGCTTTATCTCCAACTCTCCAAGGGCCTACTCAACAGATGTTGTCATCGTTCAAGCATCCGCACTATATTGAAGGACGGGAATAAGAGGACTTGTAGAGTTTGGTCTTTGTTCGTCAAGAGAGGAATTGCTTACTCAGTTCAAAGTAGCAACTGTTCGGGGGAGCGTTAAATGTCAAGGTTGGTATTGTTGTTGGTGCAATACTGGTTTCAAGATAGACGAAATTATCCATGACTTCAAAGTTATGACTGTCAATAGCGATGTGTGAGTCAATTCGCGAAAGCCACAGCTATTTGTTTGATATGAGTTCACTACCAGACCCACTTATTTCGCTACCTTATCTAGTATGGAGAAAGCAGAATTATTATTAAATAAATAATATCGGCGTACACAAGCAGCTTTACAATCTTATAGAATATTGTGACTTCTCGATTCAGCTCTGTAGCTCKAATTATTTTCYTTAGCAGTAGATTGAAGAAGTCACACGATGGGGAGTCTCCTTGACTGAAACCTTTCTGCTATCGAAGAACTCAGATAGTTCTTTGCGAATCCTGAAATATCCCAAAGTACTAATAAATCTGATTGACAGGCTCACTTTTATAAACATAGGATTGCATTTTCGAGGATTGTTAAATTTATTACTAAGAGATTGGTTGGGAATCGTTCAATACTCGGTTGACTCAATCGTCCAGCAAGTCAAAAATTATCGAAATGAAGTGAAAAAACGAACCGAAAACCAAAAAACCCACGCAAAAAGCGCTAAAACTCTAGGTGATGATCATGATTTTTTTCGATATTCGTGGTTTGGTGCAGATGGTGCAGTTTATTCCGAAGGGGCAGACGGCCAATAAGGAATTCTATTTGGCCGTATTGCATGAGAACATCCGTCGAAAACAATCCAATTTGTGGAGGAACGATTCAAGKATTTTACACGATTATAATGCACCATCGCATCGAGCCATTTTTGTGACCAAATTAAAATACAAAAACGCTATGAATATGATCGATCAACTAACGTATTCACCAGATCAGAAATTGCTACTCGCAGGAACCCGTTTCCAGTCGATCGAAGAAATAAAACAAAATTCGCTGATGATGCTGAAGGCCATCTCAAAAAGTGCTTATGARAAGTGTTTGGAGGACTGGAAAAATCGTTGGGCGACAAAATAAATATTGATGAATAATTAAATATTTTTCGTTTTATTTACAATCTCCTAATACTTTCACAATGTATATTATATAGTAAACAATGAGTTTCATTTCGAAAATCACTGGTTATATATAATACATTTATTAGAGATTATCCATAAAATTTTCTTATTTCACTGAATAATTATCGCTTAAATTTGAGCGTTAATTTCCTGTATGAATTACACACAATTTCTACATAACTACAATGAAATATATACGCTACTAACGGTATTATTTTCCACAGTTCAATCTATAACCGAAACATTGGCATTCATACGCCTCACTAATTTCCTTATGGCAACACTGAATGGATATGAATTTTATTGCACGAATAGGGACCAAGCTGAGATCAATGGCAAAGGATAGGGAAATATTGAAACGGAATTACATAAAACGCAGACGAGCAGAGCAAAAGCCTGAATTTTATGGTTTGTAAATACTAACACATTCATAGCTATATGCAAATGTATGCATGGTGCACACACATCCATTTGTATGAGAGTACATGTACATGAATGTATATACAGTTAAAAGGAAGCTTAAATATAGACGAACGTTTAAACAATAGAAGCTTTGCAGAAGAGATGAAGCGAAAGTTTTTTCGACTGATTGTTAGTTTGTGAATACAAACTCGTTTATGGGCGCTTGGAGAATTGAAGCGATAAACCCGGGAGCTCAGAACTGCGAGGAAAATCAACAGATAGGATAAAGTAGGCGGCATTCACGCTTGCTAAGCGCCAGAGATAAAATTATCGGCAGTTGCCAGGAACATATTTGTATSTATGARTGTATATAYRTACRYAYGKRTRWGTTTGTATATTTCTGTAGCTTGTGTATGTGTGTGCATGAAAGCACTATTTCTTAAGGCCAAAAGCAACAGTCTGGTTTTACAAAATCTTTATACATATATATACACCCACTGTGGTTCATATAATTATGTATACATATATGTGTGTGTATGTGTACGAAAGTATTTATGTACGAGTATGCGTGCGTCTGCCAAGCATAGCGAATGAATGAGCGACATTTTTATGCTAATTGAAAGCAATTCGTATGGAAACAAATTGCCATCGATATGCCAGTTCGCATATTAATACCGTAACGTTGCATGAAAGCGCACACTCACACACACACACACATATAACAGTATTTGCATACATACATACACATGCGTACACACTTTTATAAGCGCCACACAGCAAGTGACAAGTGCTGGATTGTGAAGTGGCTGTGGCCATGTGTACTCATCAGTACTGGCTGCCTTGGTAACGGCAGTGGGTGGAAACGGAAGCTCAGCGTTAAGCCATGAAGTGGTTATGTGATAATAATCTTTTTTTCTTCCCTTCTCGCCTAAATTGATACCAAACCGAGCTGGTAGTGACAAGTGTGAGTGCTGTGTGAGGTGTGGGTTTGCATTATAACGGTACATGGCCATAAAAGATAATCAAATCGCATACAAATTGCTGAGATTTGTATTGAACTTGATTGTGACATAAAGGACACGCGACGGTCAATGAAAAGCAAATGCATAAACAAACACTTATTAGCGTAAGCGCACACACACACACAGCTATTTGCATAAGTTTAAACTTTGCTTATATACATATAACGGTACAAATTCATATACTCACTAGTATATACGTATATATAGATATATTTCAAATCTATCGCACATTTTTGTATAGGCGCTGTTAGTATGCAAATCTGTTATATAAAGATTTAACCGTAATCAAACGCAAGTTGCTAATAAATGCAAATAGAAGTGATTCTGCTCCTGAGATTACAAATTTTTAAAAACTTCTGCCATTAATGGCATAGCATTCTCGACGTTTGGCGATTTAACGTGACATTATGCAATTTAGCAATTATTTGAAAAGTCTTGAAATTATTAAAATGCCTGCGCAATCTCTGCTAATTCCTTCATTTTTCTCTGTGAACTGCTTCGCGAAATTTTTTCTTTTTCATTTCCAACCAAATGTAGGCTGGCAGGACTAAGAACTTGCGTATATCAACATGCAAGTAGTTTGTTTCATACATAGTAACGGGTGATCCAAGTAGAGGTACTTTTGTCAGTAGCCTCTTTTTCACAGATCGCGCGTGAGTCGCGTCAGGCTGTCATGTTATTTTGTTCAATTTTTTTTTTTTTTGAAATTTCATCATGGAGAGACTTAATTCTGAACAGCGCTTACAAATCGTTTAACTTTATTATAAAACTT